GCGGCGCAAAGCGCCGCGCACACCTTCAATTTACATGCGGAAAAACCTGCTCTCAGCGGCCGCGTGAACCAACTTCGACTACATTTTTTTAAATTTTAAACTTACTTTGAAAATTTTCTTCACTGTCTACCCTATTTCCCCGCCCCCCAAATATCTATAACCACCGTTTTTGCAGGACAAAATGCTGGGACTAGGGGTATATGAGTGGGGCTACACAAGCTACTTTTGCCGAGCCTCGGAGTCCAGGAGGCTGGAGCGGTAGGCTGTACTAAAGCCTTCCATTTCCTGACGTGGTTTCGAGTACCAACGAGGACGCACAGTCTGATCAATTGAATTATTCAAATCTGCCAAAACCTCCCGATTAATTTGGCAATTTTTTTTTCAAAAAGAACGCACGCTGGCAACTAGTAGGCAAACCGATCCCGTTTTATGTGAAGAATACGGTACTGGCAAACGTAACTCATGCCTACGCTTGATTGCCGATTGCCTTTTTGAAGTAAAAAGGATTTGTATGGCTGCCCAAACAGGACACAGGAAACACCCAAAATGCACGTAGCTTTACACTAAATTCCAGAGAAATTAGGTTCAGTATTAAGGCAAGAGTTCGGGTTGAAGCCAAAATTGGGGTGAGGGCCAGGATTGTTTTACGGGACAAGGTTTAGGTTCGCGTTCAATGTAAGGTTTAGGTCCAGGATATGGCTATGGTTAAGAGCAAGATTGCAACTTTGTTTCATGCTAGGGTTGAGATACTGAAATATTTACCCTTTCTACAATTTCTCGTAAGACCACCTATTTTAAATGAGCGGCTGTGTCCTGTTTAGACGGCTGTACAGGTCATTGTTACCCTTTTACTGCCTCCCTGCAATTCGTTGCTATAATCGTAAAACTCCCAACGGGCTAGCTGAGGTCGAAGTGGCAACTGTTGTGGCTGTCTGACATTTTAAAGAGACTATACTCTACTAGTATTTCGGTGGCGCCCAGGCGCCAGTGACATTTGCAACAGGTCCGCGTAACTTGGTCCACACCACAGCTGCCCCATTATAGGCATTTAGATGAGAAATTCGAGCTCCCGGCTTATGATCAGTGAACACTTGAGCGCACACAGCGCGGATCAGGCCCTGTGGGGGTGGGGTGAAGTTTCAGGACAAGACAGAGCACTACAGTTGTCGACGCGCTGGCTAGGAGAGCTATCCAGGTGGGAAGCCCCCGGGCAGAAGAGTAGGGGGGGGTGGGGAAGGAGGAGATAAGGATTGGCGAGGAAGGCACAAGAAGGGGGAGAGTACCTACGCCGCGACAGCAGGTTCCATAGTCGCGAGGCCCACAGGTCGACAGTCTGTCACACCATGTTAAAGTAGACGAGTTGGCGGAGCGCAACACAGAACAGACACTGGACCTCCTGGGGGGAGAGCATCGACCGAGAGTAGACTGTGTGAGGGGGAGAAGGGTAGCGATGCTCAGGAGCTTCCAGTGGTTATTTGAACTGAAGGGAAGCGATTGGATCTCAGATTTACTGTCAAACGCTGATCGGATGAAACGCCAAGGCGCTAGTGTCCGTCCAAGGACATTTTACTCTTGGCCTTTCCCGCAAACAGAGTTTTAGTAAAGGCAGGTCAGCGTTCAGTCACTGCAACGCATATCAATTGCATGTCATGACCTTCTCTGTGGATCTAGTTAACTGTTTCTCTCCTCTTCCGTACCTCGGACAGTGCTGAAATAAAACCACAAGCTAATGGCAATGTGACCCGCATCTCATCGAAAGTTTAAATGTTCCTCATTGGTAAGGAATGCAGGCACACCAATTAAGTACCTCGTCTCGCCGCTAGAGTCAAACACACATTCTGGAGACTCTGTAATCCAGAATCAAATGAATAACAATCCGAAATTTCTATTCTAATGTTTGGAAAGCTAGAGTAGACACTTAACTATTCAGAGACTACCGCATAACGGGAGTGGTGGTAAGACATGCGAGTGTGCAATCCATACTACGACACAAATGAACAAGTAGAAAAACTAGCCGTTGAAGTGAAGCTACAAAAATAACTGAGGCATAACGTCTTCTACCGAAAGTGTGAGATTTCTGGCCTGGGCAGACCTAATAAGTCGAATGAATAGCACACTTTTTTTCAGGAATATTTTCATAACATCGTCTGAACACGAGAAAATACAAAACTGTTGACAGACAAGAAGATAGAAAACTGAGGGGAGTTGGGAAAAAGACAGAAACCTGTAGGGAAGTAGATACACGGCCAGGGGCTGGAAGGGACTAAAAGCCAAGTAAAGGATTGTCACAGGCCCTCCAGATTAATTTCGGCTGGACCGGTGCGCTTCATGTAACGTCTGTATCGTTTATAATTTGTGCTCTCCGCGGACCGGATGCGAAGTTCCTCCGCTTGTTGTTCCCGATAAGCCTATAAATGCACGACAGAAGACGGAAGGGTTAAAAATAAAATTAAATGAACTAGTTGTCAGGATTAGTCGAAAAAGGCTCCCTTATCCACTGCTTGGAAATGAGGGTACAGCGCTAATACATCAATAATCCACTAGAAAGGTCTCAGAACTAGCTTCCAGACCTTATCCAATGACTTGAAAATTTCAGATGCACCCACACAGAGACCAGGAAAGAAAGAATGTTAGAAAATTATAAATAAAGCAGGAGACGATTACGAGGAACATAATTTAACGACCTTGTCCAATTTCCGAGTCCGCATTCAGAGGCGACAATTTTTCCGGCACGATACGATGGGAAGTCTGTAGAATGATATCGTGAACACACTCTGTTGCCAGCCTTTATTTCACAGGTTACGGGTGTCTAACAGCCCCTGCGATTTCCCGTGACGTCACGGATGTAAATACATCGGGCGCATGCCCAAGCGTCTGTCAGTTCAGTCGGCCGAACACTTGCCTAAGTAGCCTGAATGGCTCCGCGTATCCAACAGTAGTGAAAACACACAGAACACAGACAATTGTTGAGCTTACTACGCTATTTTGAAGCCAGACTTTTACGGAGAGGAAGGAGTCAGCCACGCCAGTATATAGATCACATGATTAACCTGACACTGCCCTAGTAACGAGGCCATTCTAATTAGCCCCCCACCCCCCATCCTACCATTTGCCAAAGCCACTTGCATAACTTGATCAAGGGACTAGCCCTGACGATGTAATCATAGCACACATGAAAGTTCTATACGGGTTTTATTTATCGTATTCCCGGTTTAAAAAAATACACAAACAGAATTCCCGACCGAATAAGAGGTTATGAAATTCGACAATGCTGTTAACTTGCTGCTTCTTCCGTCATCTTGGTTTCATTCAACCTTATCCCGTGGACGAATATTGTAACATATATACAGCCTTTGTCTGACGGGTTAACTAATATAAACTGTTGAAAGCAGACTTATATTCCAAACAAAGGGAGTCCAAAGAAGGGATTTAGGTTGACATCGTACAAAGCAAATATTATTTGACAGTGTGCGCCATAATTCACGTAAAATTGACCAAAATAAGGAACTTGGGTTTCACTTCCATCGTAAATTTCATTTTCGGATGGTAATTGTTCATTGTAAACAGTAGTTCTTCGGCTTCCTTTATGTTTTCAACAATCGCAAAGACATCATCTACATCATCCTAGATGTTCACATGTCCAAACTTGGGTTTCAAATATGAAAAAAGTAGTAGGCTGAGTCCCAGATCATAGGTGTATACACAAGTCAACATCCTCGGTTGTGGGGCACATGGTGGGCCTAGTTGGAATCAACAATCGAACTGTCAAGGCTGCAAGGCAGTCTCATTCGTTTGAAGGAATTAATGTGCTGGCGCTTAACTTATTTTCCTTCTCCTACAGGCACTTACAGAGTAGCTTGCACTAAATATTTGGGATAATCCGGGGCCATGGTTCCTACCTGAGGCCGGAGGATTTCTCCGAGTTTGCCAACACAACTCACCTGCGCGGTCATCCTTACTAGGTCATAAGCGAACACACTTGATTGGACCTCAGAAGGCTTTTCTTCAGCCAACGAATGGTACGACCTCGGAACTCGCTATCGAGCGAGACTGCTACTACCGACACCATTTCTGACTTTAAAAGAACACTTGAAAGCATTATATTTGACAAAAGTCAACTCTCGCAAAATGACTCCTTAATGCCCATCTTGTAAAAATTTTCCTGACTCTAGTTTTTTTCACACTATTTCCCATTGTACTGAAAGTGTTGAAGCCAACACAGCACTGCCCCAAGTGAGTTGAACAATAACCAGATTCTGGCGTGTGATCGTTCGTAGGCAGGTTTAGTGACCGATAATAAGTGAATCGATTCACCCAGAGGAAATACCTTTCGAGATTTCTGCCTTAGTTGTCGACCAAGTCAAGCGGAGGCAGTGTTGTATGCTATGGTTGAGTTTTGTTGGACAACAGGCACAAAAATCTCCTAGTTGTTCAAAATGAACGGTAAAATAGTTAACATTAAACAGCGTGCTTCGAATATTATAACAATTATAAAACTCATAGGATTCAGAAGACAACTTGGGAAGCAGGTGTTTGCTACAGATAAGTGCTAATCAGAATTTCGAAGAAGCATCTATCGGAAGAAAAGCAATTGTCTGGAGAATAGACGGATGGCAGCAGTTCTATGCCTCTTATTAAGAAACGAAGGGCACAAAAGGCTGGAAACAGTAGCTCGATAGACAGCACCAAAATGAGGATCCAGAGAATGTTTCATTAAAACACTTATCCTGTGCGATTTAATGCATCTAACCCTTCCCTTGTGCCCTTTAGAATAGGTCATATTGGTCACATGAGTCAGCGCCCATAGAAAAACACGTATGAATACCTACCAACATGGCTGAGAAAAGGCAAAAGTAGGAGCGTAGAGAGTGCTATTCTCGCACACATGGTTTATTCCGGACATTGTGCAGACACCAACGAAACCTAAGTAACCGGCAAAGTCTTATCAAACTACACGAAATTACTGTGACACTAGGAACAGCGGAGGTCGACCGAAAGCAGGTTATACAAACCGGTCTCCTGGACACAGAAGAACTTCGCTCAGGTCTCACATGTAATATATGTTCAAAGGTCAATTAAACCACTGCAACTTTTCGGAGTCTTTATCCCCTCCCTCTCTGTGACAGGGCTCCTCCAAACTCTCTTCACATACAGACTAATCATCATTACCTGAGGACATTTACACTGGCTGCCTCTACCCCTCCTCACATGGTCTCCAGGCCCCACATACACGAAAAAGTGAACATAACTCGGTTACTCATAAGCACTGATTGAGCCCGTATTGGCTTGATGAACATTTATTGAAAGCAAACGACTTCTTGTCAAATTCCCTCCCGAAGTAATAATATCGATTATGGTAACTACTAGAAACAGGGGTACACACGGCCAAAAACGCTTGATGCGAAACGGACTCGAATTGCGAACTCTTCGAATTAGCCCCGGGTGGTATACTTGCCGTATTATCAGGAGGGAACTTTCGTTAGTCGTGAGTTAGTTCACAGGGTCATCTTACAGATTTAAAAGGCTGGAGTTCATTCAACATTCGGCACCATGAATCCCCATTTTGGACAGCAACTCGCGGGGGACATGCAATCAGACAAGAACTAGAGACTGGAACGACTGGTTCCGGCCTCTTAATCTGCATATGTCAAGGCCGGGAAAACCAAACGTTGAGTGTGTCCAATCGCAGTCGACAGGGCTTGACACCGAAGCTCAAACGGTGGGATGCACGGCTTCATTACCAACTGAATCCGAACTCGAAGGTTCGGTCATCCCGACCTGGAACGCTTAAGCGTTCCAAAGACAACCTAGTTAAGCTAACCAAAAGTCATCGTAGTGATGATTGTGGCGAAGAAGGAGACGCCAGCTTTATTAGCCTGACGTTCGGG